CCTCTACAAACCATCCCATCTATGAGAGGTTCTAGAATTGGTCAATGCTCAATTTTTGAATATTGTCACCTTTAGTCGTTCTACTTTTAATTTATCCAATTAATCCCAAAATTAATTCCAATTAATTTCTGATTAATTTTTAATGAAACAATACTATTTCTAATTAGTATATTATTAAGTATATAATAAATTATTAAATCAGTCTCTCACTCCAAAAAATATTTCAGTCAATTACTAGGTTTGAGGGCAACCCAAAAGGACTTTGCTAATAATTCAAGATTATACTAATTTAGTTATTGACTTCGACACCTAATCCAACAATATCACCAAATCTCCCCCACTTGGGGTTCGAACACGCACCAATTGAATCCCTTAATCAATTATCGCCTCTTTGGGGCTCAACCAATCCATATCTACAATAACCTTGCTCTCGCGTAGGGGATAGGAACCAAATCAATCGGGTACTGCTCGCTGAATAACTCTAAAATACGTCTCTGGTGAACCCTCGACACTCACACAGGACGGTTGTTGGCAATCTCCACCTATAACTTATAATCCAGCTCCCCTGGGACATCGTCAAACCTCTTGCTAAGAGCAAGAGATACAAAAGATCGGTTAGCCCCCGAATCAAGCAAAACCAATGTAGGAATACCGTTCACAAAAATGACCCTAAACAACAACACAAATATATAAGCATGATAAGCAACATAAATAAAAAAGATAAGGAGAAGATACATACCCGAAACCACATCAGGTTTCGCACGCACCTCCTCGACCGTCAACTGAAAAGCCCTCCTCTTGACTACAGGGGCCTCCTGCTTGACGTCCCGGCCATCAGTGATCCTCAACGTAGCTGGAGCGGGTGCTGCAACCGCCCCTCCAGTCAAATCGTGTAATCGGCCTTCTTGTGGGCCCTCGAGATTTAATGAAAGCATATCAGACCTGAAACCTGGGTGGTGGTGGTGGCAGTGAAATCCCTACCGAAGTCTCCTGTCTTGCCACACTTATAGCAGCCCGAACTATCCGTCCTATAAAATCTGTCGTGCATCTGTCCACAATTGTCACAACGGCCCCAACCCTGTTGGCCCCTTGGTCTAGAATCAAAACCCTTAGGTTTCTTTGGTAAAACCCCAGTCATCTACACTTGCTTTGCCTTCCTCTTCCCGTTGTGCTCCAAATAAATTTCCCTTTCCCGGGCCCTAGACATTATGTCATCCAATTTCGGACAGGCTGAAAAGCTAACAAAATCCTTGATATCTGATCTCAGCATGACATGGTACCGAGTCTTCCTCATCTCCAAGTCTTCAGCATACTAGGGTACCAATAGAGCTCTCTCTCAGAATTTGGCGGTGATCTCCGCCATGGTCTCAGTCGTTTGTCGCATATCTAGGAACTCCCTCGCCAGTTGTTGTACCTTAATAGCCGGTGAAATGTCTGCTCGAAACTTGGTCACAAAATTCGGCCAGGTCATGGCCTCAATGGTTGGGGCTCCCAGAGCATAACCAAACTTCTCCCACCAATCATAGGATCGCTCCCTCAGACAGCCTGTAGTGAACCTCACACCACCCCCCCCCCCCCCCGAGGAAAAAGGTAGTCACCTCACCTTCACCCCCCCTGTAGTGAACATAACCAAACTTCTCCCACCATATCTGTTATCCATCATCTGGTGGCAATGGGGTCCTACGCCCCAAAAAACTCTGGAGACCCACATCCTTTGAAAGCCTTGAAGGAGAGAGTGTGGGCCCCGTACTAACCGGAAGCTAGAGCGGCCCTAAAGACCCAGAGACGATCCTCTATCAACTCGATGATACCCTCCTTAATCGAGCCAAATATCACCTAGGTCGCATCAAGAATGCCTCTTGTAAGCTCATACGCGATGAACTCGCATAAACCCTCGTCAATTGGTTCGGTTCCCGAACCTGAACTAGATCCAGATACTGAACCTCCTGCTCCGTTGCGTGTCACCACCATGTTGAAACAGAATACATAAACAATAAGTATACGCACGAAGAGGTTCACACTCCCTAATTTTCTCAAATTCATCAAGGCCTTCCTTGTCTTGGGTATAGATCTTGTTCTATCAGTACTACGGACCCAATACTACCTTATGCACATATCGATACCTTCCTCAAGGACTGATTAAAATCCTCCAAGCCACTTCCCTACTACCAGATACCTCACTCTCACTATAGAGCACCTTACGCGCTAAGATGTTTCCTAGGATTTCCTAAGGTTCCTTTCCACACCATTCTCTTCTATCAGCTGCAGAAGAGGCTCTCCTCCAATTCCTTTTAACTCTCTCACGAATATAATTACCTGTTACCAGCACCAGATAATTTTCGACTGCGAGGTCCAACTCTACAACGGTTGGACTCAAACAAGTGTTGTGCAATAGAGTTGAACCTAACCTTCAAGAATTATCTAATCCCCATAACATATAATTAAAAGTATTTGCTTAATAATTAGCAGACACTAGCGGAGTCCCTCTAAGAACAAAGCAAGTAGAATTTAAGCATTGAGTTTTAAACCAGAGCACTACCTAACCATGTCACTCTATTTAATCATATGAAATCCATACTAGCATGCGGTCTTAAGGGTTTATACAATTGGCATATAAAGGCATCCCTCCTAGAATCCTACTATGAAATTATGAGTAGATCCTTAGCCCTAGTCTAAAATGCTATACACATATGCATATACTGAAACAATAACATGTATGGGTATTTTGGGAATACTTACTTGAGCTCGGTTGATTGCACGCATCGTACCCCTTTTCTTTATAAAATATTATTTAGAAAACTCTTTTTTTCTTTCAAAAAAGATTATAAATTCCCTATTTTGAGTTCAGACACACCCGAAAGTGTGCCTGAATCCCTCAAACCAAGGCTTTGATACCAACTTGTAACATCCCAAAAATTACTAGGTAACATTTCATTTTAAAAGACAATATAAACATCATTCACTCATTTCGAAACCCATCAAAATGTGATAATGTATAAAATAGTTTTCAGAGTACAAATCATGTCATAAAATGCAAAATGTTGGTGGATGACGTGGGATCATGTCGGGTCCTTCCCTTTCGAACGAGAAGTACTTGAAACTGTAAACATAAAACTGTAAGCACAAAGATTAGTGAGTATCCCTAAAATACCCCATACCATACATGTATAATAGTCAAAACATAAATGGGTCTATTCCACCCCCTTTGGTCTCTTTCAATCGGTATTGGGTCTATTTCACCCCCTTCGGTCTCTTTCAACTGGTACTGGGTCTATTTCATCCCCTTCAGTCTCTTTTAACCGGTATCGGGTCTATTTCACCCCTACAGCTAAGCATACAATCACATCAGTAAGAGTCACAAAGACAACAAGCACATACAGTCATAATAGTAAGTGTCACAAAGACAACTATCACCCTAAAAAGATAATTCAGTAAGACGACATTGGTACCTTCGACCCACGAGTATAGTGAATGAACTCACCTCAATCGATAATAGGTGATAGCTAACTACCACTCCTCTCACTGTTGAATCACGGTGTTATACCCCACCTAAACAGTCATACAATGTAAACCCTTAGTCTACCTTTCAAAACTACGAGTTTGACCTAAATTCAACGGAAGTCAAAGAGTCAAAGTCAACGGTCAAAGTTGACCCTCCACGTCATGGCCATCTGAAGAAATGAGAAAATTTAGTGAACTTAGACTTGAAGGGTTTAAGTGTTGAAAATACTAAAACAGTGTTTCAGAATCGTCAAGTGGCAAGTAATGCGGAAATTAAAGAGTTGTGAATCAACCGATTTAATGATAAAAGTGTCTTTTAATGCTTAAAATCAATGATTCAAATGTGTCTCATATTAATGGTAAACACACGAAAACACTCAAATGGATCTCTGAAAACTAGTCAAAACAACAATTGAGTAGAATTATCAGAATTAAGTAACTTTATAATGGAGGCCAAGGGGCCTATTTATAGATTTGGAAAAGCTAATGACATGTCTTGACCAATCAAGTTTTGACACATCATCATGACTTAGTTATCAGTTGACACCTTTGCCCTACTTAACGGAGAATGGATGGAATATTCCAATTCCGTTAGTATTTCGTTAGGGTTCCATCAAAGTTATAAGTCTTCATATTTCTTGAGACTTCTTGATCAACATTGAAAGTGTGATGAGCAACATGAGCATCATGTTGCTCCATTGTCTTCTAAGATGTCATCAACTTCTAGAAGTGTCATTGATCAAGTTCAGTTGTCTCTTGAATGTTGGAATGTGTCTTGAACTTGAAGATGTACAACCACGTATTCAATATGGATCATGGTCGAAGTGCATGTGCCATTGAGTATTTGGATGTGTCATCATTGTACACGATGTGCCATGTGCAATCTTGTTGAGCCATCGATGTGATCATGCTGATCCATTGACTTGAATTGAGACACCGAGTATTCATGTTGATCGATCAACGTCTTGATGCTCCACATATGATCTACATGTGCCGTCTAGGAACATGCAGGTCCAAATTTCTATCTTCAAGTGCTCCATGTTCAGCAAGTGCTCCGTGTCAACTGCAAGTGCTCCATGTCAACAACAAGTGTTCCATGTCAACTTCAAGTGCTCCATGTCAACAACTAGTGCACCATGTTCACTTAAAGTGATCCAACATATGATTCTTCAAATACTTGTTGAATCTTCAGGATCTTCCAACCTGAAACATTCTGATAATGGTTGTTAGAGAGATATATACATTGACTCAACTTATTTCAAGTGACAATCACATACAAATATTTTCCAACAGTTTCCCCTATATGTGATGGTTACTGAAATGCGGAGTAACAAATAAAAGTAATAACATGCACGATGAAATTCAAAAAAAAGATGAGTTACTAGTAGCAAAAAGAAAACATCATCCACATGTTTTAAAACGAAAAAACAAAAACGCACAATCTAAACTTTGTTTCTCAAGTTTAGTAACCACTGTCGAAAACTTACAAACCAAGTAAGTTACTGAATGAACTCATAAGAGAATAGATGTTTCTGAGAGATTCTCATAAATCTCAGTCGACCCTTAGAAGATAATACTACTCCTCTGTGTGGTTTCTTTAGTATGTTACTAGGTGACCCATTTTCCATATTTGGATACAAATCTGGCTCGTGAACTTCCTTTTCTCCTAGCTGTCCAATTTCCAAGTCAACACTGAAATCAATAACCATGTCGAGCACATATTTCCTTAGGAGTTGTAGGGCATCTTCATAAGCTTCATTGGTAGTTGCCCTCTTCTTCAACCAAATGATCAATGATCTGATATCAACTTCATTTATTCTAGGGAAATCAGCTTCAAAAAAACATGAATTCAGAGTTGTCTGTCCTTTCTCCTTGAAAGAATGCATAAGGAATCTTTTCAAATTCCCGTATGTCACTTTTGCTAATTGAAGCAATCTTGAACTTTGACCATATAGAGACAACTTGAATTGGTTTCGTCAAGAAAAATATTTTCTTCACCTCTTCAAGAATATCCCAGTTTTCTTTAGAGGTATCTGAAGGAGGTGGAGGTGTTTGTGGGCTTGATAACCTTGATCTTCCGATAAGAATCTATATCAGGATTTAATAAGATGGTTCTTTTAGGAGATGGTGTTCAGAATTGAACATCATGCTATGTACTTCTTTCTTCAGGCGAGATCTTTGAAGATTTTTTTTAGAAGCACCTCTTGCTTAGACTTTAACTCCTTAGCCTTAAGTTGCTTAGCTAACTCTTCATCTATTTCTATTTGAGCTTCTTTAGCTAACTCCTTTTTTGAACTTTTAGAGCCAGATCCTTGATCCCTTGCTTTCGAACTAGTTCCTTTTCTGCTTCTTCCATCTTTGCTCTATTTTGTTGTGCTTTTAATCTAGCATCAGCAACCATTTTGTCGAGTGACTCTAATTTCTCCTTTCTCCTTTTCTCAAACTTATTTGGTAAGTCTGGAGATTGATGAATGATAGGAGAGTAACTTGATCTGGACTTGTCTACCTTTTCCCCTATGGTTTAGGTGGCCTGTCATTTGAACCGGATAACTTTGCCAGGATCAAGTCTAGCTTGGAATCAATCGAGGCAACTTTTTGCTGAAGTTCACGTATATCAGAAGAAGTAGATTATGTCTTGATAGGCTTGACTTTATTGAGTAACAGCTAAACTGTCACACCCCCAAACCAGAATGGCGGAAACATTCGGGGGCGAAGAACGTCATGTACAATATCATAACAATGCACAATAGTAAAACAAGCAAAAACATCATCCATTGCATTAATAATATAGTTTAATACAAGTGTGTTCTGTGTAAAGTTTGAAAGACACCAAAATATATAGTAAAAATAAAAGACGAGTCTTAAACATGCTCCGTCTTCTCAAAACCTGGTCATCGGTACCTGTCTACTGGTGACCTGAGAATACAAGTTATTCTGAAAGAGTAG